TGCTTCCATCAGTGGAACTAATGCCATAAAATCCACTTTCGATTCGAAAAAAGGTACCATACCCTATTACTTCCCCATAATCGATGGAAATCAGTTTTTTCGGGAACAAAAAGCAAAAGCCATCTATTTCTCTCAAAATCATGCACCAAAACATTGCTAGTATTTTATCAAAACAAGAACTATTAGAATTAACATTTCATGAGTTACGTGAGGCCGAGAACGAACCCGATATACTATGTTTCTCTGAAACGTTTTTGCGAGATGGTTACGATAAATACTTACAAATAAAAGGTTACGAATTAGCAACTGCATTTTGTAGAGAGAAACAAAGAGGCGGAACTTGTATTTTGGTACAGCGCAATATAACATACAAAAAAATTAATAAATTACAATATTATGCAACGCCAAATACATTTGAAGCTTGTGGAATTGAAATTCCTGTACACAGATTGATTATAATATGTATTTATAGAACTCCCTCATCAAACCCTACTATTTTCTTAGATAAGCTGAACAAACTTTTATATGACTTACTTAGCAGTCATAAGCCAAACATTAAGCTAGTTGTAACTGGTGACTTTAATATTAATACCTTAAAACAGGGAAATATTACTAATTTTTTTCAAAATCTATGTCACAACTACAATCTAAGCATTCACATCAAGGTACCGACCCGGAAAAACTCTTGTATAGACCATATTTTAAGCAACATCACAGACGCAACGGCTACCATTCTACCTCTATACCTGTCTGACCATGAAACAGCGCAACTACTGGAAATCCCCATAAAAAGAAAAACCTTAAAGACCACGGCATATTTTATTTACAAAAAAGACTATTGCGCTGAGAATATACGGAAATTTAGGGAATGTCTTATGAATATATCTTGGTCTGATATATACTTACAGACTGATATAAATAACGCGTTTAATACACTTCATGAATTTCTATGTTTAATTTATAATTTATGTTTTCCACTTATTAGAATAATGATAAATAATAATAATACTTACAAACAATTGGATAAGTCGAGGTTTAAAAAGAAGTTGTAAAACTAAAAGATTACTCCAATATAGATACTACAAGAATAAATCAGAATTAAATAAGAAAAGTTACATCACATATTCAAAGATTTTGAAAAAATGTATTCAAAGATCGAAAAGAAATTCTACTATAAAATTCATACACAAAAGCAAAAATAAATGTAAAGCTACATGGTCTGTGATAAAAAATGCAATCTCAAATTCAAACTTCGACCATGGCGTTACGGATTTAAAAATAAATAATGAACTGATTAAAAATCCTACTGACATAGCTTCGATTTTCAATAATTATTTTACTGATTTCCCTAATAATTTGACAATAATGAATAAACCAAACAGCTTTACTAGTATTGAAAAATCACTACCAAATCAATGTTTGTTAAGCCCATGACAGAAGAAGAGGTTAAAAAAGAAATCTTATCTCTTAATAACACTAACTCGGAAAGATATGACGGTATTAATACGAAAATAATTAAGAAGTCTGTAAATGAATTAGTCTCTATTTTAACATATTTAATTAACTTATCATTTTCATGTAGTACTTTTCCAGAAACATTAAAATTGTCGATTGTAAAGCCATTATTTAAAAAGGGTAAGAGAAATGATATTACCAATTATCGTCCAATTACATTAATACCAATATTGTCAAAAATACTAGAAAAATGTATGTACAAAAGATTACTACATTTTTGCAAGAAATTCAATTTAATAAAGAATGACCAATATGGCTTTCAGAAACAAAAATCTACATTAGCCACATTTAAGCTCATTAGTTCAATCTTAAAAAAAAATAACAATTTTTTAACCACAGCATTATTTCTTGATTTATCGAAAGCCTTCGATCTCGTTGCGCACAGCATACTATTACGAAAACTGGAAATGGTCGGTGTCAGAGGACTTCCACTAAAATGGATATCTTATTATTTAGCTAACCGTAGACAATGTGTCGTAATAAAAAAGATTGTAGGAGAGGAAATGCTGTCCTTCTCATGTTCTTATAAAGAGAACAAACATGGCATTCCTCAAGGTAGCGTGCTGGGTCCAATGTTGTTTCTTCTTTATTTAAATGATATAACTCTAATCACCAGTCATAAATGTATTTTATTCGCGGACGATATTTCAATAATTGTAAGCACTATTAAGAAGCAAAATAATTCAATACGTAATCATGAAATCGACATTAACAACACAATTGATATAATTATTAAATGGCTAGACAAAAACAATTTAAAAATTAATCTTAATAATTCAATTTATATTCAATTTAATAAATCAAAACACACAAAATACAATTTTAATATTAATATCGACAAATTAAACGAAGTAACACAAACTAAATTCCTAGGAGTAATAATCGATCAAGATTTAAGCTGGAGAGGTCACATACATCAACTATGCAGTAGAATTAACCAATTTGTTTATGCACTTAATAAAGTAAAAAATGTTACAGACAAAAAAACTGCTGTTCTAACGTATCACGCTTACATAGAATCTTTACTACGTTATGGTGTTGTAATATGGGGCAATGGTACAGATAAACAGAGATTATTTACTGCGCAAAAGAAATGCATTAGAGCTATTGCTGGAATCGCACCGGATAAATCCTGCAAACCAATATTTAGGAGCCTAGGTTTGTTGCCACTACCATCTCTGTATATCTACGAAGTTTGTAATTTCGTACATAAACATAATAATCTGTTTACAAAGGCATGTGATATGAATATAAGGCTAAAAAGAAATGCTAATAGACTTGTATTAGATGATGTACCGCGATCATACAAATATAGTAAAAGCTGTTTAACCATGTGTATTCGAATCTATAATAAAATACCAAATGAAATCAAGTCGAATAATAATAATATATTAAAAAAATATTGACTTATCTCAATGAAAATCAATTTTATGACATCAGAGAACTATTTTTTAAATGTAAATGATATATATTTTTTAATGAATTTTTGTATTATGATTAGAAAATTTCATTTGTATATGTGCTATTTATGTAAATTTGCATGCTATCACAATCACATAGCAAACATGTTGTGCTTTAAGAATTGTACCATCCTTATCTGTCCATGTTTTATGCAAATAAATAAATAAATAAATAAATAAATATGTTCCCTACAACACACGTAACAATCAGTCCTCAGACTTTAAGTAAAGTGACTACAATTTTTTCGTACCTGTAGCATCTGGTACCTGAGAATTGGCCGTCGGCCTAAACTAGCGGGTATGGTATATGTTCGCTGTACATGCTAATACTACTTTATTGTACTTATATATTTTGTCCATCAGAATATAAGTCATGTCTAGGAGCCAGGTATCTTGCTCTAGTATGATTATGAGACTCTATGTACTATCTATGTACTCTATGTACCGGCTCGGGACCGTACTTTGTGACAATCTATAGAGGAGGGCTATGTTCAGCAGTGGACCTGTGATGGGCGTAGTGATAGTGATAGGTAGTGATGAAGTATGTACTATTAATTTCACTGTCCTTATGTATATTGTCATTTAATATTCATTGAGAGATAAGTAATAAATTAGTTTAATAGCTAATTTATAAATTAGTGAATAGCTAGATAGATTTTGGTTTGGCTTATTTCTTTATATTCGTGGTGCGTCTCAGACATCACATTCTGATCCTTTTGCTTATTGATACGATGCATAGTTTTGTACTTACCCTTATTTTATAATAATTAAGAGGATATAGTAAGTCAACTCAAATTCTAATTCCCCCCCACTTCCCCGCGCGTCGTATGCTATGTACCGACATGTTTGTACGTTTGTAATCACTAATACTGTAAGTAGATAGGTCATTAGATACTTATTTCATTAAGTTTATCATATTTATGCCTGTTTCTTAACGCCAACCCAGTCGCTTCTTATTTTTATGACGGTTATTTCCCATTTTAATTTTACGTCGTCCTGTTGCGTAATGTGTATTCTGATCGTAAGCGACACAACTTCTCCCTTCAAAAGCCGGAGCGATACTAATTACTAACTTTCAGTATATTATAATAAAGGTACCTACTCTGTGACACTAACGGGGCGACAGGAATCAAGCTTACGCGCCGATAGTTTAGGTAATTTCTTTTTACAGTGAAAATAATGGTATTTTAAAAAAAGTAAATAACATAAGCATTGCTTTATAGTTAGTTCAGTTAGTGTGTTTCATGATCTTATTTAAAGTATTTTGTGAATAACAGCGGTTTATTGTTCAGTTTAGAGGTAACTTTGGATTTTTTTTCTATCGAGAAATTTTACGGAATCGTGTTTTCGTCTAACATAGTCCTTAACATTAATCCTCAACTTTACCATATATTTATTTCAAAATTAATGCTGCAATACTTTCGGCATAACGGAGGATCTTGCTAAGCCATTTGAGGTTATATTTCCCCTTAATAATAAAATTAATTTAATAAACGAGCATATAGTTCACCTGTTGGTAAGTGGATGCTGTGGCTCATAAACATCTACATCTAACCTCGATCAAATCTCGAACCTCGATCCTCGATCGAACCTCGATCGTAAAATCAAAATGCAGATGCGGTGTCATTCCAGAAGACCAAGACGAAATACCTCGTTTCTAGTTAAAAAAGGCTCGATTTCGCTATTAACCGAAATGTGCCGAAGTCGAATTCGGGTAGTAGGTTACCATAATTGTGTCTGTAGCACGATTCAACGAAAAATAACTAATGTTACAGAACGAAATGGAAAGTTATCTATATCAATATGTACGCAGCACAGTACGCACAGCAGTAAAACAACTTAATAGACTATTATAATCGCTTATAGATAAAAGCGTCATTCCGATATTATTAATATTTTCTGCAAGGAACTCCGTTCGGGATGTCAGTAAAACACAAACATATAGATTACTTACACGCTTCTTAAGAAGCGGACTGATTTCGTTTAATTAAGTTTATTGTTTTTTTTTAGTAAGATATTAGTAAAATGTCATATAAAGTAGCCGCTTTTCGAACGAAGAGCCATTTGGTGAGACAATTATCGGTTTCAACGTCAAAGGTAAGTTTATTATAAAATAAAAAATGTATCTAAAAATATAAAATAATTTTCATACGGTAAAAAATTATTAAAATATTTTTCGATTAAAAATAATTAATATTACCTCACAATTTTAGTAGTTATAATTATCTTGAAAATGAAATAGGATTTTTTTTTATTTATAAGATCAAAAAACATATAGTATATTTTATTACTATTATTATTACCACAAAATACCTTTATTACCTATATATTAATATATATTAATGCTTTATATGGCAGAAAGCATCTAAACCGGTACAACATTTATACGGATTTTATCGCGTTTAATTAACTTAATTCTAATTCCCACGTTTCGGATGCTTTACAGCACTCATGGTCACGAGAGTGATTGTGGTGTTTGAGGTCCCAATGTCATAGTTAACCCGGTTACCTTCAGGTTTTTAATATTAATTTTCGTTCTGCGTAGATCGGATCGGTCGGATCTATAACTCATTGCACTTCAAGATGCAACAATAAAAATTATGAAAAAAATATATGAGGGGCCTTTTAAACTTCTTTTTTATGCTACGGTTTAAGCGGCATTTGCAGTAGCGTCCTCCCGGATAAGGAATGAGGAAAAGGTTGCTGATACATCATATCTAGGTTTGCTACTCAGCTAGTCTCGCTGATCATCGTCGGATGAGGTGCTAAAGCAAAATTTTCGGGGGTTGTCTATGACCCTTCAACGAAAGAAAATCTCTTGTTACAAAAATATGTAAGGACAAATAACCGTAGGTAATGTTAATGAATTTATGTTTGGTATATTCAGATAATGAACGCAACATTTGTCTGAAGCTACGAAATTTTTTTGGTAATTATGCAATATTAGTCTAACGTGATAGGAGCACACTTATAGAATTGACACATTTACATGAAAAGTCTAGTGTAGTGGCTTCACCCACCAGTGGGTGCACGGGGAATTTCTGTTTACTCGTGCATCCACTGCATTACCACTTTTTACTCGTTGCGTTACGAATTTGTTAAGCGTTGCAACTATGGTAAAATTACCAGTGTAAGGCAATCTATGTGAGATGCCTACGTTCAGGAGTGAATTTTATAGACTGTAATGGATGGATGGATATTGGAAATTATGTTAATGTCCGCGAATTTTCGGCTCAAAAGCCACCCAGCCGCACCTAAGCCTACTGATGTTTTTCTTGGAAGGTGTTTCGGTATTTTTCAGACTGTCGGTGTACTGATACTGTCCCATTTACAACAGGTTGTTGCAACAAATGAATCGTTTGTTACTCGTGTACGATTGATACTAAAGATTTATATGTATGTACTATGTAGGTACAGTTGATATTTAGGTACTTACGTGTCACCTACTGTGCTGCCCCTTTAAAATTAAGTTAATAACCGTGATCTAACCCCCATTAATTTAATTTTAGAAGTATTTGCTAATAATTAAATTTAACGAAATACGTTGACGTTTAATGTGGCTTCTCAATCCTGATACTGTTCTTTATGACGTTTTTTATAGAAGTATAAAGGTGTGACAAGCGAGCATTCAGTCCACCTGAGAGTAAGTGGATGCTATGGACAATAAACATTTTTTTTCGTTGTAGTGCCACGCTGCAGCTATATTATGGCTGTAGCACGAATGGGTCGGATCGACCGGGGCATGACCACGCTCTCACAGAATACCAGCGTTAAATAGCAGCGTAATGCTAGCTATGTTTCGTATGGCGAGTGTAAAGAAACGGAGACCATTTATACTGCATTCGAAGCATTCCATTTTAGTCCTCAGGGGTGACAACGCATTTGCATTTTGATCCTTAATTATTAAGGATAAATAAGGATATCTATGGGTTACAGCATCCACTTACTATTAGGTGGATTGAGTGCTCGTTTGTCACCCAATGCTATAAAAAAGCAACTACATATGTAGACGCGCTGTCACCCTTAAACACTTTGATGGAATGTCATGTTTCTGTGTTGGAATCGTCATGGAAATGAAAGCCAACAAATGTCTCTTTTCTAGTTTAACAGTAGATAATCGGAATTATACAAGGCTTCATTTTTTCATTAAACAAAACCGAATGTAACGTAGCGTCACATTACGTTCATTAATCATGTTTTGGTCAACCATCAATAGATATCTGTTCTCATAATCAATAACTTTCCATTAATTTATCGTTTTAATGCGTTCGATAGCGGCGTGTTACGATGGAAACAACATTTCATATCTTGTTTGTCTTTTTAGTTTATTACATACTCACCTCATTTACACGAGTTTTATAGATCTACTTGCTTAATAACAAATAATTAAATATTGACTTAGTTCGATTATTTTAAGTTTGTTGAACTTATTTCTCATGTAGGAATTTATTTTTGTAGAATTTGGAGCGGTGAAAGAAAAAAATACCTATAAGTGTTAAAAATAATTTATTCTTTGCAAGGGGTCTGATATTAATAAAGATAAGATAAGCTCCAAGTCCAAGATTAAAATATAATGATCGCTACATCCTACTAAAATTCACTGCTGAAAATAGGACTCTTCCGTATATTACCTCATAGGCAATATTCGCGCATAGCCCATAGTTGCCATGTTTGGCAAGCGGGTTGGCAACCGCATTTTTTTAACTCGTCATCGAAGACTCTAAAAATCTGATACACTAGAGGGTATCTGTGGGTAATTTTCGCTCCGTATATAAAAATAGACAGCAGTCACAGTTGTATTTTAGTAACCTGTCTACCAATCCCAGATGTGAGATTATTTCAAATATCTACTTTTCTGAGGATATAATAGTCAAAGAGCTCATGTTACTCGATATTACTAAACCTGCACCTAACGGCTTTACACCATTGTTCCCCAAACACACTGCTGAAGCTATTAGTGTTCACCTGTGTTTTATCTTTAGCCAGTGTCTTATTGAAGGGACCGTGCCCCAGATATGGAAAAACGCTGATATAACACCAGGTTACAAGAGTGGGTGCAAAAATGACGTCTCTAACTACCGCCCTATATTTTTGTTATCAACTATATCAAAGGTTCTTGAAAAGCTAATTTACACAAATTATATTTTTCACTACATTGATAAACGTTTGCAAGTAGATGCAATTTACATACACTGATTATTCCAAAGACTTTGATAAGGTTGATCACATTATACTTTTAAAGAAATTAGCGCTCAAAAGGACACTAGGAAACTTGATAAAAGATGGTTTCATCATATGTTTTATACAGATATCAATGGATTAATGGTTTCTGATCTAATATCATAAATGGGTCAATGCTTTTTATACTATTTGTAAACGATATCTGTGATTGTTTCCGTTTTGCAGACTTCCTCCTTAATGCAGATAACTTTAATATTTATCGCAGTGTCAAAAGTGTCGAAGACTGTCATACGAGGGCGGCACTGAAAATTTCGGGAATTAAGGAAGTGACACAACATTACTATTTAAAAATGTATTTATTACTTTTTGAAGTATTCTCCGCGAAATTTGACACATTTTTCCATACGATGGAACCAACCATTGAAGCAACCATTCCATTCGGAAGTTGGGGTCTCCAAAATGGCCGTTTTGTAGGCGTCCACAGCTTCTTCAGGTGATGAAAATCTCTGTCCACGCAATTTATTCTTTATTTTAGGGAAAGTATAGAAATCATTAGGGCTTAGGTCGGGGCTGTACGGCGGATGTTCTAATAATTCTATGTTTTCTTGCTCTAAAAACTCTTTTGTTCTGTGTGCGGTGTGAGAACTCGCATTGTCGTGATGGAGGATGATGCGGCGGTTGCAGTTTCTCTTTACGGAGTTCAGAAACGACCTGTGGCAAACAAATGCTAGCATACCATGCTGCGTTAACCGTTCTTTGTCCCTCAAGAGGAACAGTCGTAACATGGCCGGTTTTGGAGACAAACATGGCCACCATTTTGTTTGCAACACTCCGTGAATGAACAATTTTTGTTGGCTTTAACTCATTTTAGAACACCCAAACTCGTGACCTCGAGACTGGTTTTTGTTTCGGGTTCGTACGCGTATATCCAGGATTCGTCACCTGATACGATGTTGTATACAACATTTGAGGATCCTGCGTGGAATCTTTCGAGAGTTCTGATGCACCAAGTAAAGCGAGCCTCTTTTCGCTCTTCACAGAGCGAATGCGGTATCAATCGGAAAAACAACTTTTTTTACACCTAATTGTTCATGCAAGATTATTTGTATTTGACTCATGCCAATGTCTAAAGTTGCCTGAATTTCGCGGTATGTCACGTGTCAATCTTACTCAATCAGCTTAGGCACAGCATCAACGTTTTCTTGGGTGACGAGTTTTTGGACGATCTTGACGGGGATCATCACTGAGCTTGACACGTCCACGTTGAAATTCAGCAAACCAGCGATAAATTGTGGTTTTGGATGAGGCTTCATCACCAAATGCAGAAATCATCCGGTCAATACACTGTTTTGTGTTAAACCACTTCGAAAATCATAATAAATCATCGCTCTTGAATTTTCTCTAGTCAATTCCATTTTCTCAACGACTAAACAAGTTTGACAAAACCTTGTGACAAGACCGAGAATCTTTATTTAAATAATTAAATGGTATTCGATTTTTAAAACCAAGGAGTTTTCAATTAAAAAGATTTTAATACGACAGGAACAGTGGAAATATTCCATTCCCGATACTTTTAGTGCAGCCTAGGTAAAATACACTAAGAATTAAATCGCTTGGTAGGCTACTGTAAAAAAATAAACTTCACTTAAGCACATCAAAATGCAAACATATCATATTCATAAAAAAATTAACATTATTAAATGCACTTAAAAATTAAACTGTGTTTCGTTGGGATCGGTATTTCAATCTTAATTTTCTTTTTTTTAAATTTTTTTCAGCGATCTAGGATTTTATTCAGACTTTAAATTACACTTAATTCTCGCCGGATGATCCCAGCGTTGTTGCTGAATCTGTCGCTGATGTGGTGCTACAGGGAATGGCACTTTTTATTCCATCATCTGTGGTACCTATCCGAGACAGAACCCAGCCTTGGTTTGGTCGCTCCTGTAAAATTGCACTACGTCATAAGCAGGAGTGCTACAAGGCCTAGGCTCGCGCATCGACGTCTCGGTACTCAACCACCAGGGCCCTTAAAAAGAAGTACAATTCTGCCTCCAGGTCCTTCAAAAACGTCATTGTCAAGGCAAAGTCAGAGCAAATCGGCAGAATTGGCGAGAAACTAGTTCGTCTTCCTTCCGGAACACGTGCATTTCGGTCTCTCGCCAAAGCTGTCCAAGGGAACTTCTGTCAGCCATCTGTCCCATCTCTGCACAGGGAGGACGACTCACTGGCCCATGCCGCAAAGGACAAAGCCGATCTGCTGGGCTCTCTCTTTGCGTCCAACTCGACTCTTGATGAAGGAGGGGGGGGGGGACACCCCGCCGACCATCCCGCGGAGTGAGTGCTTCATGCAGGAGGTCCTATTTACCTAACGCTCAGTGCTCAGAGCACTCCTCTTCCTGGACGTCAACCAGTCAAGTGGGCCGGATGGCGTCCCTTCACCACTGGCTCACTGGCACCGGTTTTAAGGCGTCTTTTCCGGTACTACTACTCCTTCGGCGTAGTCCCGAAATCGTGGAAGACAGCCCTCGTGCACCCGATCCCTAAAAAAGGTAACCGATCTGATCCGTCCAACTATAGGCTTATTGCCATTACCTTCTTGTTCTCTAAAATAATGGAATCTATTATTAACAGCCAACTCATGCGGTATCTTGAAGATCACCAGCTGATTAGTGACCGCCAGTACTGTTTCCGTTGCGATCGCTCGGCTGGTGATCTTCTGGGTTACCTAAATCATAATTGGGCGAAGGCAGTAGAGTCCAAGAGGAAGGCGTTGACCTTTTGTTTGGACATAACGAATCGATCGGGTTTGGCACAAAGCGCTTCTTACGAAGCTTCCTTCCTATGGGCTTCCCGAGAAATTGTGCAATTGGATCACCAGTTTTCTTGTTGATCGAAGCATCAAGGTCGTAGTAGACGGTGCATGCTCCGATTACAAGCCCATTAACGCTGGTGTCAAAACACATCGCGACAAAACTCACGATATCATCCATACCATCTGGATGACTGACGGTCCACCACCGTGCGATTTAAAAGAAGTTTTCTTCCTCGCACAACTTCCTTGTGGATCAACTACCACCAGAGATTTTTCCGGACCGATACGACTTAAAAGATCCTGTTTTTAAAAGGTCCTTTTTAAAAGACCGGCAACGCATTTCCCTGGTGTTGCAGTTGCTCATGGGCCGCCGTAATCACTTACCATCAGGTGAGCCCTATGCTCGCTTGCCCCCTCTCCTATAGAAGAAATTATTACGACCTGGTAAGGCATGTAGGTTTTGAGGCAAAGAGTTTTGTAGCAGTCTTTACAGGAGGCATATACAGCAGTGAACCTGTGATAATACAATTCTAAGCTTTAAGAGATAAGTAAAAGAGATTTAATTTTGTTTCATAAGTAATAACGATCGTAATATTTTAGCCTCGTCGTGTGATAGCAATACGAAGAGAAGATCAATCAGTATGGGAGAGACGCGCACCCTTTTCGCCGGCTAACGTGAACAGGCTGGTGCGGCAAGGAGTTAAAGTCATAGTGCAGCCTTCCAATCGTCGTGCATACCCGATGCAGGTTACTATGAATATATATTTATTGAAAATTTGACTACCAAGTGCCCTAGAGGAGTTAGCTATAATGAAGTTACAATGTTTTATGGTAACCGCCGGCACCAAATGACATTGTTAATTGCAATTTTAAGTGGTGATTTACCACGTGCTCGTCAGTAAGGAAAAACGTCGTAAGGCAACCTGCATGTCTGAAAAATAAAGATAAAAATAAAAATTTCGAAGACATGTGAAGTTTACTAATACGCATTGGGGCAGCGCGGTAGACATTCAGAAATGAGAGGAGGCCTGTGCCCAACTTTACTTTAATGTATTATGGTTATTACCGCTTCTGTTGGACTAAAATATGTTTTCCTAGTAATGTAAAGTCTTTAAACTATAGTATGTGTCAAGCTTTCGTCGAATCGTCGATATTAATATTTTTGATGGCGTTCATAAAATTTGCTTTACCATAAAAGGTAAAGCAAATTTTATGAACGCCATCTTAATATACGTACACCTTAATATAAAGTACACTTTTTGTACACGTTATTTATTTAATGATATTACGCTATTCGTAACGTAGGCTTTTATAGAAAGTAAGCCGAGTTTTTAAAGTTAAAGCACATTATAAAATATCTTATTAAGCATAGTCGAGTTACAACTAATAATTCATTGAATAACATGATATAGAATAATCGTAAGTTCAGCCTTGACTCACTTTCATATTTATTTTCAGTCGTACCTAAACGCAGGCGCAATAATCCAGGAAGATATCAGCGAAGCGAGCGTGATATTTGGCGTCAAGCAAACACCTATCGATCTTCTTATACCTAATAAGACGTATTGTTTTTTTTCGCACACAATCAAAGCCCAGGAAGCTAACATGCCTATGTTGGATGCTATTCTAGCAAAGGTAAGTACGGAAGCGATTCTACAATGATATAGTTGTAATTATTTTGCCGCGATCAGCTGTGTGATATATTGTAGATCATGCATGAGTAGTAAACGGCAATGAAAATCACACTTCTTTGTTGATAAGCAATTGTCATTACACTGACTACTAACAGCTAAGGGGATATTGCGGATTGCCGTTGCTTAAGAAGCAGAAAATGACAAGCACTTTTCCCTACTCAAACAAATTTTGCATTAAGTATGAATGATATATATTTAAGCATATTTCGTTCCATAGAATTTAAAATAAATTTATTCATATGATGACTGATAAGACACCACACAATCATCATCATCATGATTCAAAGTTCAGCAGTGGACCTTCACGAGTCCACTGCTGAACGTAGGCCTCCCCCAAGGAATGCCACAAAGTACGGTCCTGAGCCACCTGCATCATCGACATCCTGCATGTCTTACCAGGTCGTCACAGACACCACATAAACTAATTACAAACTAGAAAAAAAAATCAAATACACATACAAATTAATAAAATAGTTCAGTTTCACTAGTTTCAGTAGTTGTAATTTAATTTGACGAAACTAGAGGAGGTGAGATACTCTGCATTATATAGTGATCTGTTAGTGTAATAGGTACGATCATTTGATAGAAGAAGAAAGAAGATATTTTTAAGGCATTTTGCGTAGTACAGTTACGAGTTTATTTCGAAACATGTCAATCTGAAGAACCTGTATAGTAGGTTAATGCAAAGCTTAATAAAAAAAACTTTGGAATTGTTCTTCTATTGTTTCTGAACACATACAATCAATAGTAACTCTCCATTGGCAGCTTTATACTAGTATATATATATATATAATATATATATATATATATATATATATATATATATATATATATATATATATATATATATATCCTCAGTCTATGGGCCACAGCATCCACTTCAATTACTTGGAATGTGTCCGCGTTTTCCACTCTCACACACAGAACACATTTAATGATAATTAAGTTACATGGTTTATTTAACGTTGATTTTTTTAGAATATTCGTCTAATTGACTACGAGAAGCTGATGGATGATGCAGGGAACAGAGTGGTGGCGTTTGGAAAATACGCTGGTGTAGCTGGAATGATTAACATTTTGCACGGTCTCGGATTACGATTGCTAGCTCTTGGCCACCACACTCCTTTTATGGTAAAGCAAACTTATGTTATTATGAAAAAAAGGCTTTTATTTAAATTACATTACAATGTTCTCCAGACCGAAAAAAGGTCACGGCGGCCCATCTCCATAGTGACTAACCATCGGCGCAGGACAGGATTATAGTGTATGCGCAAGCACAGGTGCACTCTCTACTGCCTCGCTCTCCTCGTCATACGATAAGACAACTTGTTTACGGGGAACGGTGGTTAAACACCGCCAATTTCCTATCTGCGGGCGGAAGTCGAGAATTTCTTGACATAAATACTTTATTATTGAAGCTGATGTGAGGGGTGTGGTACTCTCGCCAATTCACTCACCAAAAAACAACTAAATTCCTGTCTCCGGGCGGTAAAACACCGCTAACTTCCTGTCTCCGGGCGGAAGTCGAGAATTTCTTGACATAAATACTTTATTATTGAAGCTGATGTGAGAGGTGTAGTACTCTCGCCAATTCACTCACTAAGCGTGGTGATCATGACATAACCTACGCCTAATGGAAGAGGACCATGTCTTTTCTCGGCTTTATACGTGGTAGAGCCATGCTGCAGTTATATTAGTAGTATAATTGTAGCATGAATGGGTCGGCTCGACTGGGGAAGGACCAGGCTCTCACAGAATACCAGCGAAAAATTGTAGCTTAATGCTGCTGTGTGTTTCGTATGGTGAGTGTAGAGAACCGGAGACACTTTTTAATGGAAATAAGGCATTCCATCCTAAACACGGGAGCACTATCTATGGCCACAGCAACCACTTACCATCAGGTAGACTATGTGCTCGTTTGTCACCCTATCCTATAACAAAATATAAAAATCAGAAAAGAGAAACAGGTATCTATAAAATAAAAAAAAATCTTGTTTTTTAAATATCGTGAATGAATTTTTATGGAGCAGAGATGAATTTGCCGTACAAAGCGCGCCTTTGACGTTGCTTCCCGTCACTGGTCTCTATATTTGAATCTGGTTTATGCAATATGCAAAGAAAACCCTGTCCGATCCGAAAGATAAAATGATATACCCTAATGACATTACCAAAAACAACATCATATTAATAAATAGACAATCATCAATACCTAAAGCACCCTACATGTCGGTTTTTTAAACATATTGTTAGGTTACCTCTACCGCTGCGAATAAGATCTTGAAGATCACAAAATCGAAATATTAACTCGAAGTCGACTAGGGCGACGGACTGTTCTTAATATGTAATTAAATGTCATTTTTATTGTAACCTGTGCCGTGGTATTTCAGTGGGCTGTTCTTTTGAAATTTCAAACCCGCCCCCCCCAGCAGCAATGATATTGTTAAATGCAATAAGTGCTGGTTTACCACGTCCTCGGTAGTGATAGAAAGAATCGTAAGAAAGTCGGCAAGTCTGAGCAATAAACACATAACAAATAACATATTTATGAACATTTTATGTGAAGTCCATTGCAGATGCTGGGCGGGTAATTGATCCATAACCCTCTCGAAAAAAAGAAAAGGTCCGTGCCCAGCGGTGGATCGCCTATAAGCTATAACTTTAGTTTGCTAACTTTTTAATTAAATATTTAATTTTATCCATATCGAGTTTTTTTGGAAAGGCCTGTGAACAAATCTCTTCTATAGCACGTGGGTCCAGCGCACAATTATAGAAATTCAAGTATGGCGCGTCAAGCAATACGCGATGCTGGATACGAAATTGCACTCGGAATGATGCCAAAGTCTCTTGGACCTCTAACATTTGTGTTTACGGGCTCGGGAAATGTATCTCAGGTGAGTTGTCATTGAGGCTATGAAATATCATTAAGGATACAGTAATTTAAGACTTTTTTAAAACATAAAATTGATTTATTCTAGGGAAGTCAAGAAATTTTCCAAGATCTTCCGCACGAATACGTACCGCCAGAGATGTTAAGAAAAGTGGCAGAACATGGCAGTAAGTAAAAGATTTTTGTATTTATTTTTTATAAGTCAGGGATAAAACGAAAACACTGTCTGAATGTTAAGTTGTTTTAAAACCTGTTTTAAAAACTATTGTCACTTACATTAAAATAATAAATTGAATTCGGTCATGTGATGGCAGTTTAAAAATCCATCCATCTATCCCCAAGTCCTAGGTCCGCATTAATAAACGCTCCTGAGGAACATTTATTAATAGGAACACTCTTGGGGTTATATATTATAATTTTATTAATTTAGACATACTTCAAGTTGCAGCTTAGGTTTACATTCGTTTGTATGGAGAAAAGAAAATGGAGAAAAGAAAAGGAAATGCGGGTGCATTTCCTCCTAAATGCGTTAGAATATTTGTGCGTATTAAGTTGAGTAATAAACATTTACCGTATTAAAAAATAACATACTTGAGTTCGTCCTTGAGGAATGTTTATTAGTACGACCTTAGCTGTCAGAAAAGTCGGATAAGGATTTACTGAGTAAATTAGGTAACGTACCTTAAAACTTTAAAAGATTTAGGGCAATTACTTTTTAATAAGTCATGAATGAATTTTCATAGGTGGTAGAATTCTTTTTCTACATGGGAGTGCATCTTGACTGGATAAGCTGGAACCACCCTGTGTTAGTCCGAGCTGAAGGGTATAGATACCCAGTACAATCAGAGTATGTGAGGCATTCTATCTTTGTCCATGGAGGTTAGGACACATCAATAACCTTTTTTGCTTGAAGTTGGTTGCAGATTCCCATGAAATGTAGGACCCATTACATTACATTGCTTGAAGTTGGTTGCAGATGTCTATGAAATGTAGGACCCATTACATTACATTGCTTAAAGTTGGTTGCAGATGTCCATGAAATGTAGGACCCATTACATTACATTGCTTAAAGTTGGTTGCAGATGTCCATGAAATGTAGGACCCATTACATTACATTGCTTAAAGTTGGTTGCAGATGTCCATGAAATGTAGGACTAATTATATTACGTTGCTTGAAGTTGGTTGCAGATGATCATGAAATAGGATTAATTACATTACATTGCAGCCGTTTACAATCACTACTACACATCACTGCCTTTGGGCGGCCAGTGTTCAGTATTCAGGGGAGCTATAATGACGATAACTATAAGCTTGCAAAGAGAGATCAACCTACTCTGTAAATGGTTGCTGTACTACTGACCGTTATTTAGAGACAAAGTATAATATTGGTCTTCAAACATCGTCTCAAACAGCTTTATGGAATTGATAAAATTTGTTATAGGCCCAAACAAAATCTACGGATGCGAAGTACGTCGTCGACATCATCTGGTAAGGAAGAATGGTGGTGGATATGATAATCAGGAGTACGAGGAACATCCAGAACGATATGTTTCTACATTTGCGCAAACGGTAAAGATGTATTTTAATTGATTTTTTCTTTTCCTTTTTTTAGGTAAACTTAATTATTCAAATGTAAAAAAAATAACGCTCTTTCATAAATTATTATTATATGAACTGTGGGAATATTTTGTTGGTTCAGATTAAAAGGCAATTTTTTTAAATGAGTATTTTTTTCTTTGAATGCTAGAAAAAAGTCCTTCTTATATTGCAAGCTAAAAATTTTAAATGTATGTATTTGAAAACTCTATAAGTAATTTAGTATAAGATATAGAGGTCTCGCTCGTATTAATTTTTCAAAAGCGGTAGCTGGTTTTTTTTCTCTAAATTCCTAATATTTCACAAATTGAATTTGATAATGTTATTTTAAATAATGTTTGAATTAATTTTTGTTACAAATATGTAGATTTTACTTCTGTGTTACCATAAGAAGCGATTAAATGGAAAATAATAGACTCCGCCTGCCAAATGCGATAATTGGACGGGAACAAGTAAGGCCCATGTCAAGCGGTTAGAGCAGTGGACCGTAAAAGATACCAATTATAATGGACCGTCCACGACTTCGTATTTTGACGTTCGAGACACTAAACCTTTCTCACTAAAAATTTTTAATTTCTAAACATCGGTTATAAATTATAAATTTAAAACGGGCGATTTCACGACTTCCTATATCCAACGAATTTGTTACTTTATTTAATGGTGGTGGTCACCAGAAAATTATATTCTCCAAATATTATTTGTAATAACTACTGATGTAATCTTTGATTGATTTGATTTTCAGTTTACTTAAGCGATTCCAAAAAAAACATTAGTCTACGTAGAATACCTACCTAAAATATGTTTAAATTAAAAGTATCGATATAGCATAAAATATACGTTTGAATTAAAAGTATCGATATAACGTAAAACATACGAGCTATAATATTATGTATTCAAATTGTTGTTGTTAGATCTACATACTTCAATTGTTTATCAGTTTATCAGTCAGGGAAACTCAACGTGGGGTATTGTTTGTTCAAGTCATAAACATATACCTACTCCACTTTTTGTGAGAGTATATCAGTGTGGGGTATCTTGGGGCCTCCGATAAATAAGTATATGGCGATATAATATCTCCGAAATATCAATAATATTGCAAGTTAATCAGTCACGTCACGTGGCGATAGTCTTCATAATCATATTCAGCAGTTGACTATATTAGAATGATGATAATAATATTGAGGTAGAGCAATTAAAATTAATATATAAGTATATATTATGTGTACATTACAAACTTAAGATATTATTTACATTGACAATCTCATAAAGAAAACAAATTGTCAACCGAGAGCACAATATATCATATCTTAATGTATTTTAAAAGAACTCAAGTAATGCTTTTTATACTCCGACCTTGTAACCATTAGGTTATCGTCACTTCAGATACTGTTACGTCTTTTTCGCCGTAGATTGCGCCCTACACATCCGTTCTCGTGAACTGTATCTACTGGGCTGTGGACAGTCCGAAGCTTCTAACTATACCTGATGCCAAACACCTTTTCCTGCCTTCGCATACACCATGGCTGCCCACGAGCGTCGGAGCACCAGCTCTACCACACAGGTAAGGCAAAACGGCTACAATATTAAGTAACAAATTTACTAATTGATTGAGGTACCAGCACCAGTAAACAATAAGTCCTAAAACGATTTGCGGCACACACAAAGACATAGACCTTTAAAGTCAAACTTACGTATTTCCATCTTTAATGGATCGCTTACAATTAGCTTAGCGAAGAAAAAAATATTTTTTTTGTACTATAATTCCGTGCTTGACGCTAGATAAGTAAATACAAGACTCACTTATGTCGGCCTGTGTTCAGAAGTAGGATGTATATTGTATATAGGGTGTAGCTTCAATTACACATGTAAATACTCTCAAAATATCGAGAGGCTGGCTGCTTTGCGCCTGTGCCTGTACATTATCAGTGCGAGGTATCGGCTGTCACCAACCCGCCTGCCCCATTCAGTGATGAAATCTTACAAAATATCCATCACTGCAGTGGGGAGCTGGTGAGATCTTAGAAGATCTATAAGTGCAAGCTGGTGATTTAGAAAGCCATATATCCAGCACGTGGAATGATAAATGCTGTCATGTGATAGTAAATCAGTAATCCACCAAAATATATTTCAATTAGAGAGCAACTACTTAACCTAATTAGTTGAAGAACCAAGGTGCCAGATTTTGTTAGTTGTTGTAGAGTTAGTTGTTGTTGTATGTAGTTAGTTGTTGTATGTAGTTAGTTGTTGTATTATGTATTATGTCGTTGTAGCACTGACCTCTATGTATGTATAGAGGTCAGTAGGTTGTAGTGATTGCTTGTTGTATAAGACGAGTTCTATAACGGGTGATATCGCTGGTCCACGGATGAAATGTACATGAAGCGATTCTGACCTTTTTAACCTTGCCTTATCTCCGCGTGGATTTTATTTCAGTATAACAATAATAACAATAAAATTACAAAAAGTTATAATATACAATACATTTGAAATTTAGAGAGTAAAGCTCAAGTTTAACATAAAATTACAGTTCGCATTGGTTATCAAGGTTTTATGAATCGAAATCAGCAATTGCATGATAACCAATAAAATTTTCGTAATGTACGAGTAGGTATATATTTTTAATCATTAATTTTACAATTAGGTTCTTTATATGTCATGGATAATTATTTTTAATATTATCACTACTGCCACGTGCCACGTGTATTTATAAAAAAATTTCAATTTATATATTTAGGGCGACAAACGAGCACACAGTCCACCTGATGGTAAATGAACGCTGTGGCTCATAACCATAACTTATTACTAGTTTCATCAAGTTATTACGCTATATATACCTTCTACGAGAGACCCTTCCTTCAACAGTCTGTCGGTGTTTCGACTTAATTGTCACTTCAGCTTACTGATCTACTTCTTTATATAGGTTACTCTGGCCCTATTGCGTTTTTACTATAACGTGAGGGTAATATGGTCAAATGCGGTTAATGGTCACTTTCTTATAACTCAAAAACTACAGACTCGTTTGCATAGATGGCTTTGTGATACGATAGCTCTTCATCGGTCAATCAATAAAGAATCAGAAGGGCGATGGTTCATCGACGCCATTTTGACAGTTCACATTATAGTAAATATTTTAGTCGATTTTGGTATGGTGTAGTGTAGTTAGTTATTTTAAGTTGATTTTTCTAAGTGTTCCTAATTATTTCCAAAGCTTGATTGCTATTTTTTTAATATATTAGTTGTAGTATACTACTTTATGTTTTTGTCTCTGTCCTCCTCCTAGATTTGGTTATGTAGAGCGGCAAAGCCATATTACCCTCACGTACCTTAGTTATGAATATATACGCCGAGAAAACTTACATCCTCCAGCCATCTCTATATTACTTACAGTAAAATTAAATTTACACAAAATACCTAAGAAAAACACTAACCCATATTGTTATCATACTCGTAGATATGTGCTGATAACTTATTTACTGGTCAGTGACGTTAGATATAATTTTTTATATTATTTAAGATTAATAATATTCTTATCTTATCTTAATAATGTTAACTTAGCTTAGGTAAAGATCACGTGGACAAAAGATTTCACATTCAGTACTGCTTGTGAAAATTAGATTTGAATTAAGGTTGTAATATCGACGTCAAAACAAAGAAGACCATTTTTCACCTAACTATGTATAGAAATGAAATAAATCTTAAAAATCAGCTAATTCAATTGTAAATTAATTACGCTTATCACAAAGTTAAAAGAAACGCAGAAAAAAATATTTTTAAATTTTTATTTAAGCTAATTCTACGTCAAGGGTAAACGTATTACTATATTTTGAACGCATCTCAACTACTCTTTTTATAGGACGTTCAATTTTACACACTGCTACTTTATTCAATTCTGTTTTTGTGTTTTATAAATTATTTTATGTTTCATTTAATCAGGAAGTATTTCTTTATTAGAGTTTGTATAAGTAAGGGTAAGTTCGAGCACATTTATTTTTATTACCTATTTGGTAACGGCAAATCCTAACCTAAAAAGTAACATTAATATTTTTTGGGCTTCGTAGCTTTTAAATCGTAAAAATGTCTATATGACATTATTTTCTAAACTTACATGCAGTTTTTCTACTATACCTTATAATTATACATAAACTTTTACTATCAGGTTTTTAAATGTATGGAAAGTGGGCATGATTCTTTTTACAACATTTTTTTACAAATTTTTAAATTAATAAACCTGAACAAAAATCCTGAAAACAAAATAAATAGCTTCCTTACTTTTTAAGAGTTCAAAAACGAGAAGGTTTTATTTTTCGTACATCACCGTTAGTGGGAGTGTATTCTCAATTTCCAAATAATTGTGCATATGATTACATTATTGCTTTTTACGCACTTAAACTACTTTTTAATTTCGTAACTTTTTTAAGAGGACGTACTTTACTGTTGCGATTTTATATAGAGTGCCATTCATTATTTATAGTAAACATAGATTTAAAAAGAGAGCCGTAATAGCTCAGTTAGCGCTTGCTGTATTTTTTTTTGCTAATTTCACAGTACGTGAGCAAACCGGGTTCGATGCCCGCCGGCACCAATGAAATTGTTAATTGCAATTTTAAGTGCTGATTTACCACGTGCTCGGCGGTGAAGGAAAATATCGTGAGGAAACCTGCATGTCAGAGAAATAAGAAAAAAAAATCTTCAAAGACATGTGAAGTTCGCCAACACGCATTGGGGCAGCGCGGCGGACCATTCTTTGCCCTAAAACCCTCTCAGAAATGAGCGGGAGGCCTGTGCCCAGCAGTGGGATGAAATATATATAGGCTGTAACTTTATAGATTAAAAAAATAACTACATATTTGTATATATTTTTTTAAAACTATTTTTATATCCAAAATATGTACATTTTGAATTATCTGCTAAAGTGAATATACTATAGCTATTTGCTTTATTATTTCTTTATAACACAATATTCATAATACAATATTATATAATACACTAACAAAAAACTAAAACAAAAAATAATCTTTTGTGTCTCTCTTTCACATTTGTAACATTTTACTATAAATAATAAGGGGATAAGTCGCTCGCTTCCGTAGGTTTCGACCACCTAATCCTAGGTGGTGCTAAACGAGCGACAAAGCCGAAAGTTCAGAATCGGCTTCTCGCCGTGTGGTAGCGGCGTAAAATATACCAACCCCTAGTTTCGCACCATGGGACTAAAAAGTAAAGAAATGGCCCCAAGTTCCCGATGCCCCTTTAATGGGGCAGCGGTGCAAAGAATCTCCGGGAGGAAAACCGGCGACAAGGTTCGTCACCCGTCACGTTCTGTCTTCCGGAGAGGAGAAAAAAGGATTGCGGACGCCCATCTAGGTACGCTGAATGTATGTGGAGCAATGAATGATAAAATGGATGAAGTATACGATATGATCTATGATACAGGTGACATCTGGTGTAGACGAGACCGAGCGGGCATACCAGGGAGTCGGTATCATCCTTTCGAAAAGAATGGGTCAATATGTGAAAGAGTATAAATGTGTAAGTTGCCCGAGACTGCTATGGATACGAATAAAAATAGGCTTAAAGTAGTTGTTTATTCTAGGGTTCTAAGTCCCAGACATGTCTAAGCACTTATATTCGAGAGCAGTTTTAGGAGATAGTAAGGATGGTGGTAATGAAATGTAAGGAAAATGAAAATATTGTTATGTTGATTTTGATAGAAGGGTTGGGGTAAAGAGGTTTGGTTAAGAAAGGATATTAGGAACGTTTGGTGATGAAAGTATAAATGAGAATGGTGAAAGCCTCCTCACCGTATGTGTGGAAAATAATCCTTTTTGTGATGAACACTTTCTTTCATCATAAGAAGATTTATATGTATACGTGGGAAATAAGGGATGTTAGAAGCATGATATATTCCACAATTGTAAATGAAAGATTGAGGAGCGCAGTGAAATCCAACCACGCCCCAGCTAAGAACAGAGGAGTTACAAGATGAAGATGTGAAAGACAAGTACAAATGTAGATTGAGAGAAAATATAAATGGTCTAGATGAATTGCATATGAATGAGTTAGGCTTGGAGAATGTGTGCCATAATGTTAAGAAAGGTTTGGTGGATGAAGCTACCGAAGTATGTGGTGTTAGTAAGAGAACGAATGGAAAGAAAAATAATACGTTATGGTGGGATGATGAGGTACGGATGAAAGTTGAAGCAAAGAAGAGAGCATGGCTAGACTTACTAGTTACCAGGGCTGGTAATTCTGGCGGTACGAATGATGATATTGAAAGACAAAAGGCAGTCTTTAGATGCCAAAATAAGAGAGTAAAAAAAGTCGTTGAAAGGAAAAAGCAAGAAATAACGGATAAGAATGATAGAAGAATATCGGATAACTTCCAGGGAGATATTAAAATATTCTGAAACTCGTAAGAACTGCCAGGAGACATTCAAAACAGCCTAGATTGAATGCTATACGAGATGAGAATGGCTGTAATCTGAATGATGAAGTTTCGAGTCTAAAAAGATTGAAGGAATATTTAGAAAGCGTATTTATGATGAATGGAGACGTGTGAACTAA